GGAGCTCATTTTAAAACCTTATATAATCATGTAATAACTGAACAAAATAATGATTATCAACTCTTTTATTTTTGTATTACAGTATGTATTATGGCTGTTTTCTTTTTTTAAGCATGAATGAACTGTACCTGTCAAAATGGCTGACGTGGCCACACCTTGACATAACCTGGTGTTTAAACACAGCCTGCAGGCTGGTGACACACACACACACAGAGAGAGAGACACACACACGCACACACAAGACAGAGAGCGAGAGAGAGAGAGAGAGAGAGAGACATAAGGAAGTGGAGTTACGTTGACTGAGTCTCGACGTCTTGGGGCCTGATCTCTGCGCAACAGAACCACAGGAAAATGTTGCGCACTCTGGACAAGAGGCGCTGACAATGTGCGCTGATTTCCCCGCAGGATCCTCAGAGTTGTAGAGTTTTACTGTGGGACAGCATGTCCACACTCACGATCACAGAGTGTCTGCTCCTTCTATTCTTCACAGGCATCGTCACCACTGTGTCAGGTAAGTCTCAGCTTCATTATTAACCAGTAGAGCAGATACAGTGTGGAAGCTGCTGTTTGAATACTGCTGTTCAGAACAATATCAATAATTGATTATCCCTCAGATTAAAGGATAACTCTATAGGGCAACATGGATCACTTATAAAACATGTCATGAGAAACTTGTGTCATTGTGCTGTTTACTGTTGATATGGTTTCTGAGTTCAATGAGTCGCCAATATCAGGATAAGACAGAACAGACAGCAGTGTCCTATCTTTGTGTTGTTGGAAGTGACTGGCCTGTGTTCTCCTTTGTTCAACAAAATCCAACAATCCTCCTCCATAGAGCCAATGAATCTGATGTGTCACAGGGTCAGATGACAGGTTGTTGTCCACTCCAGGAATATATATTTATATATAGAGAGAGATAGATAGATAGATAGATAGATAGATATAGATATAGATTGATAGATAGATATATAGAAAGAGCATGGTGAAGCAGGACATGACAGTCAATTCAGGCAGCAGCATTTCTTGCTGTAGTGTGCTAACATGTCTCTGTTTGCTCAGCGCAGGTCTGGTTAGTCACAGAAGGAGCGGAGCCAAACTGTCCAGCCCATCTCTCAGCTGGTTTAGTCATACTGACTAAAAGCAAACTAGAATAGCATCCAGTAGAGCGCATACCTCCAACAGGGCCTGACAGACCCCTTAGATTCAGTCAAGCTGCACCAAATCTGACACCATACCCTTCACCTGACAGATTATTTTCATCTAGATTGAATTGTTGGGGAAAATGTCAAAAACGTCCTAGAAGATGAAAAAATCCTAGATCCACACCAAACTTTGGTTCTTCCCTGACCCACATCTTTCAGTGTGATCATGTAATCCGTCCAGTAGTTTTTGTGTAATCCTGCTGACAAACACAGATGAAAACATATCCTCCTTGGTGGAGGTAAATATGTCTTTATCTGGTTTTTAGTTGGACCAAAGTGATTATTTTACTGTGACGTTTCTCATCTTTCTTGAGGGCTGGACATCTGCTGTTTTAATCGCATTAAAATGTCTTTTATCCAGGGCTCCAAAAGCTGACCATCACCCCTGACCGAGGCACCACCTTCAACATCACCAGTACCCAGGTCAAAGGTTGTAAGGTGTGCACGGGGGCAGGACGGTCCAGAAGATGTGATGCATCTCTGCTGTTAAAAGACAACACTCCTGTGTCAGTGGAGTTTGAGTGCACCAGACCTCAAGATGCGTTAAGGGTCGAAATTAGCCGCAGTATAGGTAAGAGCGTCTGTCTGAAGGAAAGTAAGATGTGATATTTGAAATGTCCTCTCATAAAGTAATCATGACTGTCTGGGTTTATTTACTGTAAAATTCTTTCTTCAGAATGTACTACAAAGACGTGCACTGGCCACATCATCCAGGCCGACTACGGATCACTTCCACTATTGGATTTCAACCGCAAGTTCACTTGGAACCTGAAGGCAGCGTCGCCAAAAGCATTAAAAATAGACTTCGGCGGCACAGGTCTGATACAGATTAATCCGTCCGAGAGCTGTCCGGACAGACACAGCTACTCCCTCCAGGCCCTCCAGACTACAGGGAGCGTGGCCGTAGGGAAATACTGCAGAGCGGGCGTTATCAGCAGCGCTCAGATACTGAATCTGGGAAGCTTTTCTCTGGAGGTCCCAGGAGGGCAGAAGCTGCAAAATGTCCAGTTTGATGTGTCTGTCGGGGAGGAAATCAAATGTGAGTTGGTTAAAAACAACTTCGCTCTTGTGTGTCTTTCAACTGTTTTATTCGACAGTTTAATTTCCTTGTTTCTCTCCCAGCCCTCTCCAAAATTTCTCTGAAGTTACCAAAGGGGACCTCATCCTCCGTGCTGCTCTCTCCAAACTACCCGGACAGCTTTCCTGACGACGATGTGATGGAGTGGTACTTTCACGTCCCGGATCAACACAAGACGGCCATTAGGTTCTTTAACCTCACACAGCCCAGTTGTCTGAAGAAGGAGACGGCGGTGGAGTACCACAACAAAGGGAGAGGGGCGCAGGTGCAGAGTCTGAACGATCCCCATGTGGAAGAGACAGGGGGGGACTTCTCCATGACACTGAGGAACTGTGAGATGGACAGAAGACGAGCTGGTTCTCCTGGACTCAGCCTAAAAGTCCAGGTGTCCACTTCAAGTGCAAGATCATCAGGTTTGTACCTCATCGGAAGTTTATCATGTTTTTTTTAATCTTTGGTGGTTTTGTTATAACCTTTTAAATATTTGACATTTTGATTCACTTTCTAAGCTCCAGCCACCACAGACCCATGTTAGACACTGGTAGAAACTAGTTGTTGAACACAGTGGATCATTTATTAGCTAAAGAAACAGATAAACCTTGTAGGAGTTTGTTGAAACCAAAAGTGGCTCTAAAAGGAAAGTAATTGTTGAACTTGGATTCATCAGATAGCCAGAAACTTGATGAATGAGATATCAACAAGATGATAATATGTCATTGTTGTGCTCACCTCTTAAACTGGGCTTATAACTTATTTTTTACTCCCTGCTGGTGTCCCAAAATTATCAAATATCGCTGATTTGAAGTATTATTGTTACTTCAATACTGTATTGTACTTCGAGTATAAGTTAACATCATTTTGTTCAGTCAATCTCCAGTATATGCCTGGAAGTTTTTCAGAGTTTGCCTTTCACACGAAGGATGCTGCGATAGGAAAATGTCTGGGACATTCAGACGAAGGGTGGTGTCTGGGTAGAGCAGCAGGAGGCAGGACATGACGTATTAATTCCACTGCAGAAATCACATGTTTTTATTTTATAGCACATCAGCACTGGCGTTTGCCCTGATCAACCTCAAATCCTGTTGTCTTGTCAAATTGACATCTTCGTCTGTGTCTTGGACATCCTCTGGACATTTTACTAGTGCGCTGGCAGAAAAATGTCTGGAACAGCTGACTCAGATGTTTGAGTTCCTCAATACAGAAACTCTGGAACATTTCAGGAAACTATCAGGAGTTTAGTGCTGTAGCCCACTGTTTTATGTTACATTCTATGAGTTGGTCTGGTCAGTGCCAAGTTATTTATTTCATAAAGACTTGGAATATAGAAAAGAAAGTAAATCTCAATGTGGTTAAAGCTGCAAATGTTGGAATCGTGACAGAAAATGTTTGTGTGGATCTCCTGTTTGATTTCCCAGTTTATAAATGAAGGCAGTTCTGTCTTTAGGGTTCCTTGAGCAACACGCAGTTGTGTTGTGGAGGTTTTACCTTGAATCATATCTCCTCTGCATGTTGTAGCAGGTATCTTTTTTTTTTCGTTTTCTGATCTTGTTTCAACACAGCTGCTGTTTAGTTAGTCAGAGGTGTTACAGCATTTTCACAATTTTTGTCTTTGACACATGATGAGTACTGACATAGAGTGGGCCTCATGATCTGTATCTGAGTCCTCAGTCACCTCAGGAGAGTTCTTAGATTGCCTCACTAGTGCTGAGTCATGAATGACTGGGACGGCGGAACATTACCTGACTTCACTTCCTTGTGATAGGGGGAATCCTGTCCTGCTTCTTTCTCTCAAATCAAAATTTCAAATTCCAGGTCGATGAGGTTGCGATGACTAATGATTTCAACAGAACTAACACTCACGTCTCTTTTGTGCTGTTTCCTCTGTAGTTTTGTGCAAAGTGGACCTGAGCAAAGCAGAGGGCCTCTTTCTTTACATTGAGAAGCTGAGACCGACTTCTGCCTGTGAGATGAAAATCAACTCCGTGACCAATGACAAGATCACGGTCAAGTCAAACAGTGAGCTGTCGTTCCAGGACTGCGCTCCTGAGGACGTACAGGTCACCGCCATGAAAGTTATAGGTAAATCCAGGTGTGAGGATTAAACAGGTGAACGATCTATACTGGGATAAATTGTTCATATTATAAAGATTCAATTCTATCCTTCATCTGTTGATATGGTATCAAAAGTGACTTTAAAAAGTGTGATTTTCTTTTTTTTTTGAAAAATGTATAATGTATATACTTTGGTATAATTGTGTACTTTTTTCAGTCTCAAACTTAATTCAGTGACTGACATATAGACCATATAGGCCATGTTTACGCAGAGTCAACCGTTTGGGTTGTTTCTACATCATCAACATATATTTGAAAAGGTTAACACCTTCTAATCAAAGGTGGGCAGCCCCCACTCCCCATCAGCGAACTGGGAGAGCCGTGCTCATTTTCAAATCTGTGCTGAAGCTTTTTTAGCCACCACGTCGTCTACCATTCAGAGACAACCTTTCAGGCGTATCAGCCCCATCTCCCTGCACTGGCATTTGGCATTTCAGCCAAAAGAGTGAAATTACACTTTTAACGTGCACTTTTACTTTTTTGGTTTAGTCCACCTCCCACGCATTAACAAGGAGGAGACAGGATCTTCGGCTTCACTTTTGAGGGGCCATCATGTTGTCAATATTTACATGCAGTCCATGGCTTACACCAAGTAGTTGTTATTAAAAATAGACAGACAGAATTTCTGTCTTTTTATAAGCTCTTATCCTCTTTATTTAAATGACTGTTATCTTGTCAGGGTGTCGTCAACTCCGAGACTGTCCAACGACTGCAGTGCGCCTCTCGTTGCCTTCGCTGCCAAACTGCCTCCCCGCCCCTGTGAGCAGCGTGACCTGGCATCTCCGTCCCCCCACTAACGGCACCGTGGAGCTGACCTCCCCTGCCGGCCCCCTCAGACAGTCCCTGCCTGGGCACCCGTGCAACGACAGCCTCATCATCAAAGTGGCCGAAGACGACGGCACCAATATCGGACACTTCTGTCCTCAGGGATCCATACAGAAGATCCAGATCCACACCAACATGTCTGTCACTGCGTCCAGCATGGGGAGGCAGGCACTGAAGACATGTTACAGGAACGTGCTGGACGCCTCTTTTAAAAAGGAGATAGCAGGTCATTTAACAGCTTCAGTTCAACTGAATACATTTAAACATTTCAATTATATTAAATATTCTTTTCTAACTCACTTTCAGAAAGATACATCTTCACTGTATCTTTGAAGAGAAACACCACCGTCCTCTTGGCCACTCCAGGTTGGCCGATGGGAATGAAGTCTTACGCCACTGTCTCCTGGATCGTCTCCGTGCCACCGAAGATGGAGGCGCACCTGATGTTTGCTAACCTCAGCCAGCCCAAGTGCAGCAACCACCACACGAACATCAAGGTGCAAATGTCCGGCTGTCGTGAGGAGGTGTACAGCCGCAGGGAAGACGAGGAGGCTGAGCAAGAGATCGTCGTCTCTGAGAACTTCTATCTCAACATGTCCAACTGCCAGCCTGAGAGAAATGGCTTCAGCGTCATCACCAAGATCACACTGCAGGAGTCCAAGAGTAAGAGCAGATGTTGAAGGATTATTTACTGTACAACAACTCTCACTTTCTCTTCTTTTTTTGTTTATACAGTAATTTACTAGAGAACTTCTTTTATTGTTCAGTTTGAAAGTCGGGACTGAAAAAGAAATCAAATGTATAAATCAAGGAAAACACAACAATTAGTTCCTTTAAATATCTTGAAACTGAAGTCTTGCATACGGTTCACATCATTGTTTTACTTGTGGGACTTTCAGCATGAAATATTTCCCATAAGACGTAATATTGGATCGGGATACAGAGACGGATACATTTACACACTCAAAATTCAAAACACAAAAACTAAATTTACTGCATGAAATCCGACTAAATGGGGAGATTTAATCTGTGGCACAAAGTGTTAATGGAAGATCTGATCTGTTTTTAGACCTTCTGCTGACCATCATCCTGAGTGTGGTGGCTGCTCTCTTGGTCATTTTCATCATTGTGCTGGTAGTCGTTTGTGTGGTGATTAGGTAAGTGCGTCTGCTCCATGTGTTGAGTTTTCTGATTTTTGTCTTTAGAAACAATCTGTTGCGCTAATGCCTCACAGCTAGAAGTTTCCTGGGATAAATCCCCATTTGGAGGGATCTTGTGGAATTTGCATGTTCTTCCCATTTCCACTTTTCTCCAGGTTTTCTGGCTTCAGTCCAAAGATGTGCAGATTGTGGTTAGGTTAACTGGACACTTTAAATTCAGTGTTTCTGTGAGTTTGAGAGGTTATCACTGTATGTCGGCCCTTTCATTACGACCTGTCCAGGGGGAACCCCGCCTCTCGCCCAATGTCAGCAGGGACAGGCTACACCCCGCTGATGGTAACAAGAGATGCTGTACATGTCTCTAAAACGCTCATCTTCTTGTTGCTTCTGCCAAACAGGAAGAAGAAGAAGCTGCTGAATCATCAGGTTTCCATCTACAATCCTAATGGCACCGTCTTCCTGCCCGGACACAACAACTTCCCCAAATCGCGTGAAGACAACGAGTCCCATGTGTACGCCTCCATTGAGGAAACTCTGGTCTACACACACCTGCTGAGAAAGGGAATGGAGATCGGTGTCTACGGAGAGACCGACACGTACCGGCCCTCTGCCGGACACACAGACTCTCAAAAGCCGCTGGTCTCCAATACCCCCAGTGCCGATGGCACGGAAACCGGGGTTTATCAGCCATTCTTGTACCCATCTAACCATGGTCCTCCACTTCCCAACAGACCTCCGAGCCAACAGCTGGTGGACAATGAGATTTACCGGAGTGCGGACTTGAGAGAGGGGGAGCGCTCTCCGAGTCTGGGGCCAAGGCTGGAGCCGGAGGGAGAAAGCTGAGGAGGAGATTGGATTCTGCTTTTCGTTTTCATTCTTGAACATTTGACATATTCATTCCCTGGCACCTGTGTGATTACCTGCAGTTCAGCCCTGAAAGGAGCTCTGTTTTCTAAGCGTAGTTTTGCACCACAGCCAGGCACACCAAATAACGCTGTTCAAACCGGCAGGCCGCTGTTACCTTTTATTTTCAATGAAGACACATTTGTTTAGAAAGTATCAATCACCACCTTTTCCCCACTGTAAAATGCTGTTTTCCTTTGAGGAGATGAATGTTATCATTTTTAGATATTGTACATATGTCGTTTTGTAAATATTATGGATGTTTGTACAGGGCTGCTCCTGTGTGCTGTTCACATGCTTAGTTTTTAAATTTTTATCTGAATATCGAGGAGGACTCCACTGCTGCTGCTGCAATAAATTGCACTTTATAGCATCATCTGAAGCTGACGGCCTGATGATGGCCTGTGTTGCAGGTGATTGCAACAGCAGTGAATGTGCACGGAGTCCTCTCTGTGTGTTTTTTATCACAGCTACTCCGCCTGCTGCCGAGGCTTCTAGTAATCACTACACTGTGCTATGCTATTACAGTTTAGGATTTTAGAGTTGTGTTCACAGGATTTAGTAAAAAATGTTGCTTTTTTGTTTGACTACTCTCAAGGAAATGTCAAGACTGAAGACATGATCCTTTTTCTTTTAGTTTTCTTCCTGTGCATCATGGTGACTGAGAATCAGTAGAATTTAATTTTTCTGTGTCAAGGACCATGGGCCCATTCTGCTGGACTGCAGCGGCATGGAATAAAAAGCCTTGTACACTCAAGTGCTTCGTCAGTGTGTGTTTTGGCCGACCAAACTTTCCTATTCATTACAGGTACCATTTAAAAGATAGACAGTTCAAGAGCTGTAATTTAACATGAGTGTGGTGAGCGGTCAGGACCTCTTCACCTGTTGTGAAGATATGAGTCACTGGTTCTGTGAGTTAATACAATCTGATGTTTGTCATTTGTAGATTCCAGAAACTCAATACTTCTCACAGAGCTGGATGATACGGCCAAAGATTATATCAAGATAAAATCATTTCACATCAGTTGATTAATTATCACGATAAATATCCCATTATTTCTTTTTGCTAGTGAGTGAAGGTTGTGGTTCTAAAAACCTTATGAGCAGAGAGTGCTGTATGAGCATTGCATTGATATATGTTTAACGCTTGTTATATTGCTGTTGATCAAAATTATATTCGGATAAATGATAGTTTATTGTTTCTAAGCATTAATGTCTCATTTGAGGTCAACTGTGGTTCAGACAAAAGAAAATGGTTTTAGTGAAGTTGCCTCCTGCAGTTCCAGCAGAGGGAGACAAAGTTCGAAGTTGGAAAAACTGTTTCTGTTTAAGAACCAAGTAAAGTTTGACCATAAATACCATTCTGTTGAAGGGACTGACTGAGTCAGTGTGGGTCAGGTGTCAGTGTTACCTGCATTTATCTCTCTGTCGCTACAAAGACGTTAACATACTCTCCCCACACACTCATGTTTATGTGGGTGTGTGGGTGACTTTACTCGAGGAGTCAGCAACAAATACAGAAACTGGGGTTTTCATGATGAATAAAGTGAGTGGGTGCAGAGACAATGAGGCTCATCAGGTAGGAACTCTCCTGCACAGATGTTTTTAGAAGTGTGTGAGTGAGGAATGTCCAGATTCAAGTGTAAATCTTTTGTGGAAACTGTTTTAATTAGAAGGCATGATTACCTTCCTTATGAGCAATTTGTTTGGATTTACAAACTGTGGTAATACCCATCACACATCCTCCACTGTTGACTCAATTCACCCGCATACACTTGACTTTAATGTAAAATGGAAGTAGTGTTCTAAAACACGTCAGTCATATAAATGAACTTGAAATAGGAACCAGTCTTTCCTCAGATCTTATAACCTTTATTGATATTGTTATATTTCAGAGGGTGGAAAAGATAAATACTCTTTATGAATCACTTGTACTCAGAGTTTTTGAATTAATACTTTTGCATTTCACTGTTTAACTGCATTGGTCTTCCAGAATACAGTTACTGGGTAAACGAAAACAAACTAAAACCAAGAATTGTTCATTTATTAGCTGCAGTTCCCATGTTGCTTTTTTTAGTGAGCTGTTACACAATGAACAATAATGTCTACTGAATTTTTTACTCAAGCAGGAAAAGAAAGAGAGGGTTGCAACAGAGGAGAGACATGTTTTTTTTCCACATTATATAATATGTTTACTATACACAGCATATTTAAAAATTCAGAAATTAAAAATAAGTGCCATAGAAAAGGCTTTCGTGATTACTGACATTTATTAGCAGAGGCTATAAAAAAAATTAATATATAACAAAGTGAAGCCATCCAGTGGAGTTTACCTCGATTAATATCTGATAAATTCTGAAATTATTTAAAACCAGGATGTGGCTGAATGCATGGGAAATATCATGTGTCAGTGAGTTTAGCTTATACAGTGACATAGTGTTTGTGAAACCACTGTGTGAAGTCAAATGACATCTGAATGGCTTGGGTCAAGAAAATGCAGGAAAGAACTAGCATTCTTTTTTCTGTGTATTGTGTAATGAAGCTCTACATGCTGCATTCATTAAGGCACTTATTGTTCACATGAGAGTTTATCTGCAAAGACTCATGTTAAAGGGATAGTTCACCCAAAAATGAAAATTCACTCATTATCTACTCACCATAATGCAGACGGAGGGGTGGGTGAAGTGTTTGAGTCCACAAAACACTTCTGGAGTTTCAGGGGTGTTTCAGTGTTGCAGCCAAATCCAATAGAATTGAAGTAAGTGGTGACCGATTTTTTAAACGTGACAAAACAACAGAAACACAACAACGAACACTTGGATGACACATATTTGGGTGAACTGTCCATTTAAGGCCTCAGACGATGTTGAACTCACAGACCGAGGCCTTCTCGGCCCTGCAGCTCTCATCAAACCACTTCCCATTGGCTGTGGTGGAGAGGATGGCACAGTTCTGACTGCGCCCTCCATCCGGCTGCAGGGTGATCTCCGTCTCCCAGTTCTTGAACCGCACACTGGACCCAGACTGGTCCAACCACTGGCCGTCGGTCACCATGTCGTTGATGCCCAGCCAGATGTGCTCCTCGGGGCCGATGCTCTGCCGTACGTAGCTGTAGAGCTCATCGTTCTCGTCCCCTGTCAGAGGGGTGCCCAGGCTGCCTCCTTTGGCGATGCAGTCGTCGCTGGCAGCGTGGAAGGTCTTCTTCACCGGGTCGGCCAGGAAACACTTACCCAAGATCTTTGTCCCTTTCAGACAAACTGAAGGGGAAGATGTGTGAGAGTCAGTGTGGGTCAGGTCACTGCAAAGACGTTAAACCAGACACACTCTTCCTAAATTTGTTGGTGTCTTTAGTACCTGTTTGTAGAGCCTGCTGCTCTTTCAACACATTCAGCTCCTGCATTATGTCACCTATCTGTTTCTTCAGCTCCTCGATTGCTGCGCTGTTTGCAGACTCTGAGAGAAACACAAATGTATTACATCACAAACACAATGCATTAACTACTGATGGACTCTCATATAGTAGTTCAGTCGTGTTGTTCTTCTTATTGTTTTTCTGAGACTTAACAAGTTAGAACATCGTTTTCTTTTCTTTTATGTCAAGTTCAATCCTACCTTTCTTGCCATTTCTTCTGTTGGAGCTGTTCTGCTGGAGTGTGCACTGTGCCAGCAGCAGAAGGCAAAACATCAGCCAAACCCCTCTCGTCTCCATTGTGCATGTGACACTTTATATCCACCAGAATGATTGTTTTGATGCAGCACCACAAAAAGCTCCTCCCAGCTCTGTGTCCTGACCAGACTGTTGTGTTTCACCAGAGTCCAATGAGGAAATCTTATCTCAGTGAAAACAAATGTTTTACAGCCACTTGTGTTGCTGTTGAAACGCTGCAGGGAGGTGGATGAGGTGCAGGATTGTGCAGCATTTAACAGCTTCCAGACAAGCATGACTCTGGTTCCATGTGTTTGTAGAGTGCTAATAAATCACAGCAGGGTCCTGTCTATCTGAGCATTAACTCACATTCCTGACAGAAACAGAATAGGAACATTAGTTTAAAAAAATAAATATATCTGCATGTGTTTTTCCCTAATAGCAACAACTAACAAGTAATGCTGTAAGTGATTATGCAAAGCTGTTGGTGAACTGTGGATTTAATCTTCTGTTTTCCTGTCAAAGGATCTGTTGTGTTTCTGGGCCAGAGGTTTCATGTTTGGGGTTCCTCCCAGAGCCCACATCTGGATCTCCTCAGTGAGGTGGGGCATATGACACGTGGCAGAGACTCATTATATAATAAGACACTTATATAATAAAGAAACACTCTTGTGAACAATCCACATCCAAACAAGTAGCTCAACCTTTTTTTGTAAAACCTGGATAATTATGTTTCAAGTTATGGATATATCAACAGAAATTAATCAAAATGTCCAGCTTTCTATTGTCACAACTATCTACCATACCTCTAACTCATGTCTCTTCTGTATTTCAGATCCAGTCCCTCTCACAAACTGCTGATGACCTCATTCCCTTCACCTGAGTCTCCCCACACACACTCACCTGCTCCTCATTCCCTCATTACTTCCTCTGTGTATTTACACTGGTTAGTTCCATTCACTCTCTACCAGATTTATTGATTTAGCCAGTGTTATCTTTCTGAATTCTTGCCTGCCTGTTCCTGACTTGATTACAACCCTGTTTGGGTTTTGGATTCCTGTCTTGCCTGCCCCTTCAGATTTGTTTGCTGTATGGACCGATATCTTGGTTTTGACCCCTGCCTGTCTTTTTTCTGCTCTTGGGTTCAGTTCTGTCTCAGCCCTAACAACAACTTGACAGTATTGGTTTCTTAGCTTTGTGACATCACAAACCCCAACTTTTTGAATCCTGTTTTTGTAGCGTGGCATTTGTTTACTGCAGTGTTATGTAAATGTGAATGCATGGGGGGCCGAATACAATATTTGCTTCCAGTGGCAACGCAAACTGCAGCATAACGTTATGTGGAGTCCCCCATTGGTGAATTTTGACCTGTGATATTCACTTTGCATTTGTATGTGTGTGACCGCCCGTTAAGGTGGAAATACTCAGCCACAGGGTTTTGATTGGCTCGTCAGCTTGGGCCTGAATTTTAAACAAACATTACAAATTCACTAAATGCATTTTCTCATGCCTTAGGTAGCACTTAATACATTGTCGGAGATATTAGGTTAGGTTAGACCTTGTCATCACTGATTTTTTTCTTGTGTGTTTACTATCATTTCTGATATCAAAATGTATTTTAAAATAGGATTGACACAAACAGGGAGAGGTTTCATCAATATATTTGAAATAAAATATTTACAAAATAAATCAACAATGGTTCTAGTAGAACAGTTATGTGACATTCACTGAAAATAAGTCATTTATAATAAATGTACAAAAGTTCAGGCAACGGCAAAGGCAGCTCGTAAAATACGTACAGAAAAAACAATGCCCAGTCTCGGTGTTCGCTGCTGTGTGCACAGCGGAGCACGCTGTCGCCCGAGACTCTGATTCAGAGCCAGTCAGCGCCACAAAAGTAGACAGTGCATGGGTCACAATAAAATATTCACTCGAATGCATAGTTAGTTAATTAGTTCATTTCAGTCCAGACTTCATCATCAGGTCTTCACCGTCCTCAGAATGATGATGTATGTGGTGTCTGCAGGTACATGGAAGACTGCTGAATTATATGTTTTGTGCACATACAGTACATTGTGTTTATGTACACTATCTGTGACTTGTGTTGTTATTAATTTATGTTATTTTCTTGTATTTGTCTACTGCTATGTGCAGGTGGAATAATTCATTTCCCTCTTGAGATCAATAGTGTTGTATTATTTTAAACTATGGTCATAGTTCTCTATTACTGTCTGTTCAATGTGCTTTGTGCATTTGTTCATTTCTCATTAGATAAGAAGCACTTTAGTTTAGTACAAAGCCCTTTGCATAGCAACTTTGCTCTTACTTCAAACCAACAGGCAAAGCTCAGGATTTTCCAAACAGTGCAGCAGCTACATTGCTTTGTCTATCTGGGTACATTTCTAATATAATTTATAATTGTTTATCCACTGTGCAAGAGAATAAAAAAACACTGAAAATAAGTAAAAAATGTACAGGTACACACAGGGTTTGCAAAAATCCAACAACACTGCACGTAAAATGAAAACAACTGAGTAAAGAACACAACAAAAAAGACACATGTTGAATTAAAAACACGAAATAAATTAAGTTGTTTGCAAAAATATACAATGAGTCCTTCTTGTTGCCACGGTAAACTATCAGAAGCCTCTGCAGAGTGTTAGGCACCGTCCCTCTGGTCTACGTTGGGCAAAGCACTGCAATAACAACAGAGATGAACATTAGCATTAAAATATTAGGACTGAATAGGGCAGAAACTTCTGTACCATCTCGGTAAAATTACAAGTTAGGAAATAACCAGGAGGAAAAGCAAAAGGAAAGCATCACTTATAGACTGGAGCAAATAAAATGAAGCAAACTTATCTCCAACACAGGGTGAGTGATCGGAAAGATTAAGGCGACTAATGCGTTGACTTAAATGTTGAATGATGGGTAAATACAGCTCTACAGTGTGAGGAAGTGAGTCATTCTCTAGTGAGTCTAGACACTATCAGGGATAAACCGAGGCCGGGGGGGGGGGGGGGGGGGGGGGGGGGGACGTGAGGAGAACGTGGAGGTCAGACTGCACTACACTTCAGTGATAGAGAGGGGGCGCTCTACTCCCATTGTGAGCGACAACACAACAGTGCACGTCACCTGAGAATGTGACACAAACCTCACCGTCGATTGCTCACACCAGAGCTAGCAGGTGTAAGGCAGAACATGAGACGCAGAAAAAGAAAACAGAATGATTTGAAATAAAATGCACACAAATGATAGAGCTCAGATGCTTTGGTAGAAAACAAAGAAAAGGAATTAGTTGTTTAAAGTCACATTTATAGTAATTAACATTAAATCAAACCATTTATGTTGATTGCCTTAATAACAAAAGTTGTTCCGTCTGTTTCTTTGAGATATAATCAATGAGTGTTGTGAAAAGGTTTGAACATTAAAAAAAAAAAGGACAAGATATTTTTGAATAACTTTTTTTCTGAAAGTTGTAGAGACTTCAGCCTTTCACGAATAATAAAGGGGAGACAGCCACACACCCATACCAGCTTTCAGCACGTTTCGAGCAAGCAGCGCGGAGTTATTCACCCTATGGTGAATATGGGTTAGGGTTGCAATTAGGGTTAGGGTTGTGATTAGGGTTAGGGTTAGGGGGTATCATCAATAAGTGTTCTGAAAAGACTTGAACATTTTACCTGACTTAAGTTTGAAGAATAAAAACGAAATTTAAGCTGCTCAGCTTACAATGATTTTTAAAATGTGCAAAGAATATTAAATGGATTTCTTAACTTAATAAAATTATTTAGTTTTTTACAACTAAGAAAGATAAGATATCAGGACAAAAGATAATTAGTTGGCACAACTACAGGTCATTTTCTTCAAAACTTGATTTGGCCTCAAAATTCATAAATCAAGCGCAGTAGGCTACTATGAAATTTTCCGTCTGCAAACCTTTCAATTTTTGCATCCAAACTTATTAATAACTTCTTATTGTTTTCTCTAAGATTTAGAAAAGCAAATGTGGCAGCCAACTGTCTAATTCTATACTTTGTTAAATTAACCCAGCAAGGACAGTTTTCAGAGCAGTACAATGACCAAACATTTTTGAAATAGAAAATTAATTTAGACAGTTAAACAATTTCGATTGTGATGATTGTCTTGTTTTTTTAGGAATCTATCAAAGCGAATCTATAAAATTGCCAAAGAAGAAAAAAGACAATTTGTAAACATACAAAAGAACTGCAGTGGTCTGTGGACCCTGTGTTATAAGCAAAGTCACAACTGATCAGTCACAATATAAACTACAGGACAGACACATGACTTACTATCAACACAAGAGAGAAACTCACCTTTGAGAATATAGTCTGTTAAGAGACTGGGCACCTTGTCACTGTCATCTCTCATAGCTTGTAGAACTGAGGAGCAGCAGATAGAGCAGAGTGAGTCGCAGCCACTGAAGCACAAACAGGATGGGTACTGAGATGAGGAAACTTACTCTTGGTGAGGATCTGAAGGTCCTCGATCGAAGGAGGACGTCCCTTCTTCTCATACGGGATGACTGTGGTCAAATACTGTGCATGGAGACAAGGACAGGGAGACAGACGTTCAAAAGACAGAACATCTCATGCATGATTGATGGAGGAACAGTCTGACTGAAGCACCATGATTGTTTCAGTATTTTGAAATGTAAGATATCTGAGAGAAGGTGGATGCTATCGGAGTGCATATTTTCATCGCAGAAAGTAGAAGGTAAAGTTCAGCATTGGAGAAGAGAAGAAGAAAGTAACCTGTCTTTCACTGCACCCACTCCCAAAAGTTTGTCGGAAGCTGTTCTGAATGACGGAGGAGAGTCCCTCCATGCTGAAGCGCTGAGGAGGAAGGAAGCGAAGTGCACAAACACAAGAGGAAAAGATGAGATTTTTAGCAGTGGGGGGTGGGGAAGAAAGCTCTGGTGTTGTTTCCTTAAAAACCTGACAACACGAATAAAGTGCTCACTGATCCGCCTGTTCTCTCAGCGTGGCCCTGCGACGTCCCAGCTCCGCCTTTGAGCTTCTTCTTCTTCCTCAGCAGTTCGCGGTGCTCCTTCTGTCGGTTTTGCACGTCGATGAGCGCCGAGATGAAACTGTTCTTCACCTCTTTCTCAAAGTCCAGCTCGTCCCTGAGAGCCAGCTGCTGCACCAGCTCCTCCGAGAACCTCCTGATGTTCGTCTCCGTCTCCTCCAGACGCTCGTTCAGCTCCGCCACACTCAGGGTCTTCACCTCTGCATCGCAAAAACACAAAAAGAAACGCAGTGACACATCTGACAGAAACCAGACGGGACCTTTAAATGTGCCAGAATCCTTTATATACTAAATTTATTTAGTACATCGTGAGGTGACTTCAGTTTCAGAGAATTTTATGAACAACTTAAATGTGAAAATGTGTTTCTATATATTTTTCTTATTGTCAGTAAATCCCAAAGACTGTATATAAAGATGGATGACAAGACAGCCCTCTGGTGGCTGGCAACAGTATAGGTCCTAAACCCACTTCCTCCATGTTAGTCCATGGGATGTTAAATATTTTTTCTCAGAGATGGTTTCTGTCATTTGAGGTAATTCTTATCACACCGACGTCTGATACGTTTTGTTTTAAGTCGTTATATCTTACTGCAAAAACAGGGTGAAACCTAATGATTGAGAGCTGAGAGTGACTTGCGATTGGTCGACTGGTGTATCGGCAGGATCTTGATACCCTTAAACAGCCGTGTCCTGTAGTTTTAAGTGCATTTCTTTCTTTATTTTCAGTTGGGGATTAAAACACATTTGGTGCTCTATTGAGTATGTACAGCAGCTGGACAGTGTATGTGGTATTTACTCAAAATAAACTACATTACCCATGTTCATGTCGTGTCAGTGTAACAACAGTGTGGCTCACTGAGTTTTATTATATGTTGGACAATGGAGCTCTGGGACACTGAGGCATAAGCTGCAATCATGCCACAGGGTTAAATAGGATCAATTCGTTGGTAGTTTTAGTGGGATTGCATGAGACTTGTTGCCAATGAGAACAATTTTAAATACGATCAGAGTTGCCCTTCAATTTTGATGAAACTGGACTGACTTGGAAAACCAACATCTAAGAATTTGTTTGAGAATCTTTCATGACATTGATGATGTACCAGTGCATCAAAAACAGATCACAAGATAAGGGCTGGCAAACAAAGAATCAGGAGAACATGTTCTGACACTGATATAATTAATGTAGTACATAGACCAGACATTTCACTATACTGGTGCCTTTATATTGATGACACATCACAAGAGAACGTGTCATATACTGATAATCTTTCTGGATCAGCGGACACTTACTCTCCTCATAGTCGGGGCTGCTGGTCGGTTGCTGGACGTCCAATGAGAGCATCGAGAGGTCAGACTGAGAGGGATCGTGCTGAGTCTCCATGTCTGGTGAGTCCTGCATCATCTCCTCTATCTCCTCTATAACCTAAAAGAATTTGAACATCGAGTTATTAAATCTCACAGTCACGCTGTCACACAGCTTTGAAGCAGGGTGTTCGCTGACAGGCCAGACTGAGCTGGAGGTTGGTGTTTAAATGTAACCTACCTGCTCTGCTGTGTACAGGGGCTCCTCTGCAAGACAGGAGACAATGATGGAGTGCATGTCCAGCTGCTCCCTCAGCTCCTCATCGTCAGACAGCTCTGCTGTGACATCAGTCTTCCTCTGGACAGGAACAGGAACAGGGGAAGGGGGAGGTGGGGGGTTTAATCAAAGCGCTAAACCCTGGCACAATGAATACATGAGATTTGTGAGATGAACGGACAGAGGGGGGAGGGAGACAGGGAGGGAGCAGGGCAGGGGGTTAATGGGAAAGTGGGACAGAGATGGAGGGGAGGGGGGGTGCCACTCACAGGTTTCTCCTCCAGGTTGAATGTGGGGATGTGGAGGGAGCGTGTTCGAGAGCGTTTCCAGTCCACTGGCATCACGTGGCCGTAGTTACTGGTTAAAGCGTTCCAGATTCTGTGGACGGAAACAAACATTTGAGTGGAAACTATCAAATTACACTGACATACATCCTCTGCCTTGATAGCGACTCCATCTTAAAAACGACTTCTCTTGACACTGAGGCACTGGAGGGAATCACAAACGCTTCATGATCAGATTAATTTTCCATTTCCGTTCAGAGGGCAAATATGATGCACTGCTCTAATCCCCAACATGGAACCTTACAAGTCAGAAAATACCACCGATGATTAAATGTTTGTGTCACAAAAGCCAAAAGCTGCAGCAGATGTAATATATGTCACTGGATTAATGTTTAGTGCTCATTTCTAAGATGTGGTGACACTTCCAAAGTCTTTTGTTCAGTGCGGTCAACCCATGAATGATATGACATTGCATATTTGTGACAGTAGGGTTTTTATAGATGACATGAAAATATTCCCTGAAGGTGAGTCATAGGAAATGATTAAATCACTTTCACAAATATGAAACCAAATATGAATTATTGATCCACTCATATCGGTGTTCAGGAGACATTTCAGGGCAGATACAGATATCATGCCTGTATTTCTGCAGCTGTCCTGATGAATGAATGAATCTGCAAAAATGACAGCTCACATTTCCAGGCTGTTTAACTTGAGCTCGACCAATGATGTCTCTGTCCACTCACCACATCCTTATAGATACAATAACACTTTGTAAAAATAGCACTGGTTTCCTGATGTAATCAATGAAACACAGCAGATACAGTAGTTTTATAAGGTTTCCATAGAGGCTGTAGTTTATTGAGAAGAAGCCTCCTCCACATCCACACATGTTTAACAGCAGCCATCCTGCGGACAGGCCACAAACACTCACTCGTCCGTCTCCAGCAGCGTGTCCTCTGAGATCACACTCACGGGAGCGACGCTCTCTGTCTGGGGGTTGAAATTGTGGAAGCAGGCGGAGAACTTCTCCTCGAAGCCGCTCACCGGGTCCACGGAGCTGAGCGCGTCCCCCGGGGGGAAGCTGCCGTCGAGCAGCCCCGGCAGGTCCCCATCACCCTGGAGCAGCAGCAGCCGAGCAGCGGCCGCTTCCCCCGCGGCGGCGGCGGCGGCGGTAGCGGCCGCTGCTCGGCCTTTGTGCGGCAGCAGCTCCCGATCCGGAACCACGTTCGAACCCCGTACATGCGACCAGTCGTCGTCAAAATGTGCGATGGATGCAGCCATGTCCCGGACCAGCCTAACAGCTCCGGGGGAAAGATGAGCGAGCGGCGGGTCTGACAGGCCGCAGCATCCTCCCGGTGTGCCCGCTCACTGCTCCACACACACACACACACACACACACACACACACACACACACACACACACACACACACACACACAATGGCTGCTGCACGGGGCCCACTAGCGGTCATTGTGTCCCGGGGCAAAGCAAAACAAACACCACCGATCAGAGAAGCGTGGTGAAGTTGTTTACACTCGGTTTCCCAGTCTGAATATATATTTATACACAAACTAAAATAGTTAGAATTGAGCAAAATTGAACATCAGCAAAACCAAGACCACATGTAGAAAGAGATCAAGTGTGTGGTGCAGGTGCTCGTCAGGACGTGGGGACCTGAATGTGCTGAACAGTCACATTATGGGTTTTGTCCTTCTAATGGTGACAAACAGCAAGTCCCCTGAATGTAAATCATTATATGATGAAGACATGGGCTGAGGTTACATCAAACTACCTTCCTGTGTTACTTATCTACTGTCTCCCCTTCATTACATGCATTGTTTGATATTCTTCACCACAGTTGTTTTTTCTCATTGTGTTTGTTAGTATAATCTATGATAATCTTTTATATTGTATCTTTGCTTTGGCTTCTGAATCTCAGGCCAATATTTAAAAAAAAAAGCAATAGAGAGAGAAACAGCGCCTCCTGTGGCTGAGACAGGAACCACCCAGGCATCACTACAGTCAACGGCCCCCTGTGTTTCCCATGGCAACGGACTCATAACAAACAGAGAGGCCTCAGCAGCTTCCTCTGAGCTGACAGATCCAGACTGTCTCTCAGAGCTTTGACTTAAAGATGAGTTCCCCTCTGTCCATGCTGAAGAAAGCGAGACGCACCCCCCTGCAGGGCCCTCCCGGTGAGCAATGGTAGGTTCATCGCTGCACATGAGCTCAGTGTTAATTAACTTTATTGAACAAACAGAGAGCGTGTGTATTTATCTGTCTCCGACCCGCAGGAGCAGGGAAAAGGTGCCTTTCAGGAGGAATCTGTTAAAAGGTATGGGCTCCCGGAACATAAAAGCAAACGGGTTATTCAAACTGAAGTTACCATCAGAAGTGGAGAAAGTAATCAGATACTCTATTTTTAGAGTACTACAGTTTAAAAACACAAAGTAACAAGTAAAATCAGGAAAATGAACAGTTTCCAAAGTAAAAGTTTGTGAACTAAAGTGACCAAAATGTGTCTATTACACCTGTATGTAGATTTAATGTCATATTATATATCATTTATTATATATCATATATCATGTGAACATTATTTTACAGTTGCAGCTGGTTGGGTTGAAAATAATAGTGAGAATATTTCCAAATAATTTTATATAAAAATGCATCTAGTGATTATATTTTCTATATTTATCTGTGGGTTATTGTTTCAGATTGTAAAACTTAATTATCTAGAGAAATGACCCCGAGCCCACAGTGACACCTACACTTTGCTTTTTTTGTTCAACTACATCCAATTAGTTCAACAAATAGAATAAAAATAACAAAAATAATGTCATAGAAAAGCAGCAAATCCTCACCTTTGACAAACTGGAACCAAAATCTATATTTTATAAGCTCTTCATGTGTTTCATATGTAAAACACAAACTTGTATAGTAATAGTAAAACTTTACTATAACACAGTAAATGTACTCAGTTACATTCCACATTATCACACTACTCTATACTAACTTTTTACTGTTCCATTACCAGATGAACTCTTTGACTTTCACATGTCTTTGTCATGGGATTTTTCAGAGTTTCAGGCAGAGCTGGTTGATGATGATGATGATTCATCTGATCCAAATCCTCCCAAACTGTGTCACAATCCAGCCAGTGTCGCCCCCACCACAAAACCAAAAGCCCCACTGAAGAAAGGTACACGTTAATACAAAGTTGAACTGTTATTTACTGTCATACAAACTAAGAATCTAACATCTAACTCCAGGTGCTCCGCCGAGCAACCTTGAGCTCATGTCCGCCATGATGCAGCGGGTGACCCTGCTGGAGAAACAAGTGAGGGGCCAAGCACAGGAGCTGGAACACAAGGTGAACACACACCTTCTCCAGATCAACAATGAAACAGCAGTAATGTACGTCACTGAAACATGTCACTCACCCCAACTTTATATTTTCATTTTTAAAGGATAAAAAGATCTCAGTTTTGGAGGAGAAGCTGCAGACTCAGAAAGAATCAGGTAATCATCTTCCACGTGCACGGACCTGAGTTTGATATTAACAGATGAAATGATTTTTCACTTGATCCCGTAGAGCGTGCACGTGATTTAAGTGGCAGAGATGATCTTGAAAGAAGGTGCCAAGAACTGCAGAATCAAGTGCACGAGATGGAGGCAAGTGGATTAAATGCATGATTTCAATAATGTGTCTTTATATTGTGGTTATACCAAACTGAGATCTACTTGTTGCTGTCCTGCAGAGCTTTCTAAATGACTACGGTTTGATCTGGGTGGGGGATGGAGAGAGCAGTGATGCAGCCGAGTGTGAGCAGACGCACAGCTCAGGTAGAGGCCACCTCATCTTCACAGGCCCTGAGCTTTTCTGCAAACATCACACAGGGTTACGATACTTCGTCGATCATTCCTACTGTATATTTTTTCTTTGCAGGCACTTCTGGGGTCACGGGTTTCCACATGAACTTCGACCTTGTGCTGCAGAGGATCAAGGAGCTGAACATCCTCGCAGGGGAGGGGGAGTCTTTTGTGCGGTCGACAGCCACAGGGGCACAGCTGGCACAAAAGGATCCTGTCCACCTGAGGCTCTACAGCAACGGCATTGTCATGTTCGATGGTCCTTTCCGCTCTTTTCGGAAGCACAGCACCCAGGTTTGCAAAGTGAAACTGTAAAGGAGAAAAATGCATGTTTTAATCTGGGAACTTTGATGGTTCATATTGTCTTTCTTTGCCGTTTGCAGCAGTGCATGCAGGATCTGATGGACGGGTATTTTCCATCGGAGCTTCAGGACAGATTTCCAGACGGTGTTCCCTTTAAGGTGAGTCTGTTTCTTTCTGTACTCCAGCAAGCAAATGTGCGAATTCGTAACTTATTGGAATCCTATTCTGCAGGTTCACGACAGGCGAGATGAAGAGTTTATCTTCAGGCCACCGTGGGATCGATTCCCTGGTGAAGGACGGGCGGTTTGTGGGGAGAAAGATGACTCATCAAATGTTGTCAGCTGTCAAACACAAGGTCTTTTTTTGGAAAACATCACTGTGATACTCCCAAAAAAAAGAAAATTCGACCAGAAATCCTTCCTTTCATTCTTATGTTGTTTTCTTTCTTCTGGTTGTCAGGAAAGAAACTGACCACGGATCAGTTCCTGAGCAGGATGCCCAAGGTGGTGGTCAAGGCCGGTCGTGTGATCGATATCAGGGAGTCACTGAGAGCAACCCTGCAGGTGAGAGGACGGAAAACATCCAACTCACTATGTAACCTTGTGTGTATATATATGCTCTCTTGAGAGATCATCACCACAGTGTGCTTATATATAATGTCTATTACCTAACACTTTCTCCAGGGTTCATCTGCTGCCCAGAGCAGCGACCCTGCGATCCTCATAGACACAGCAGCACTGCAGGCGATGAAAGAGAGGTTTGAACAGTTTATCCTTCATTACATGAGCACACTGATTGGATTTTTTTATATTGTGAATCCTAAAAACCCTTTAATATTCTCTCAACTTGCAAATAATTGATTAACCAAATTGCTTTTAATTGTTTCCTTGTAATTGTGTTTTGAAAAGGTGCTATAAATAAAGTTTATCATTACCATTTGATATTATGCCGAATCAATAGAAAAATAGGTTTAAATAGGTTTAAATCATGAAGGATATTTCCTTAAGTTGCAAATTCTTTTGCATAAAATGATACAAATGAAATGCCATGAAAAAACAAGACATCTTGGGTTTAATATAACTCAGTGTAAGCATCATATATCACATGTTTAGATACAAGAAGTCAAACCAGTGTGAAAATCGTTTTCTAATGTTACGACTATGTAGACATTAGAAGGAATAAACAGGGTTTAAGGGGTTTGAAGGAAACTGAAGGAAACTTCTAAATCCCCTCCACGATGTAAGGGCTGATTAAAATCTCTTTCTGGCGAAGATGCCTGATCGTCGAGATTGTGGAGATTACTGTATGTGCTGGTTAAGAAAGAAATAGGGCAGGGTCCTCATGACATGGCTCGGTAGCGTGTGATGGGAACTGGGATTCAGCTCTGTGACCTCCTTCAGGAATCTGAGACCAGTCAAAGACGTTATTACACGAAGTGTGTTTGAATATACAGTGTTATATCATCAGCAAAAAACATGTCAGCTGCCCCTCCTTTGATTTTTATGATGTATTTCTACATAAGGTAATTATAACATGTGACAGTTCAGTGCAGTTCTTACTTTCCACACTCAGACTGCAGGCGTCCAGCTCTGACCGGCCCTCGTCAGCCCGTGACATCATCACGCTCAAGGTGAAGTCCGAGGATGGGGATCATACTTACGTGTTGACAATGTGCTTCTCAGAGACAATCGGCCACCTGCGACAGTACCTGGACAAACACAGGTGAGAGGAGAACACATCCTCCTGTTCAAGTGACCGCCTCTGTCACAGTAACCATAGCAACACTGGTTGATTGTTTTTTCACTCTACAGAGGCGGTGGTCTCCCTGGTTATGACATCATCAGTGCGTACCCACAGTGCTGCTATGAAGACAACAGCAGGACGCTACAATCGTGCGGCGTCACGACTAATGCTACCCTGCTGCTGAGGAGGAGACAACACCCTGAATCACTGACAGCAGTCAAACAAATCGACCTATAAACTATTGTGTATGACTTGTTTTTCTGAATCAACCTTTTCATAGCAGGCGTGTGTTGTCATAGAAACAGAACAGATGTTAGAAAATATTATTGACAATGGCTTTATTCCATTTAAGTGCTCAAGACCAGAGCCCTGAAACTGAAGCAGCTAAATGGAATTCAGCCATGAATGATCTTATTATTTACACATGCTTTTCCTATTGTGTCAAAATGACTTCAGTGAAAAAGATTCGGATGTTTGTTTTTGTCCCTCCCGATAATTTGAACTTTAGGTTTCTATTGACATGATTCTATCTGACAAGTGGAGTTCAAATTTAATAAAATACTTTTGAAAGAAAACGAATAGTTGAAAGTCTTTATTTCTAAAATATGCAAATACAAACAAGGACAAAAGTATGAAAATATAAACATCTTTTTCCCTTTCGCAAAACATTTGAGATGTTAAGTTAAGGCATGCGGAACCTGACTTTTCCAAAGCGCAATTTGTGCTACTCGAGTTTCAAGGTCCCATGAAATGAAAAAACAAAAAATGGCTTGTGTGTCCCTGGGTGTGTTGTTCTGTTTACTTTGCCAAAAAGTCATTGTTGCATATTTTCATACTAAAATCCCTTTCTCTTCCTGTAAAGTGTCAAGTTTTGTTTTTAAATCAATGGCTTATCTTGCACTCAGGGTAAATATAAAATCCCAGTGAGTGCGACATGATCTGAGATTTAGGGTTGATCCAGCCAACCCCTCACATCCACATCATCATCACATGGGAAATAAACACATCCCTCTTTCACCTAAAGACAGTGACCTGTCCTCAACGATGGCTGCCCGCACACACACACGAAACACCACAGAGGAAAATAACAATCTTAAAGCCACTTCATGGGACCTTTACACAAAGTTGATGCCAAGTTTGCGCAAACATTAGAACATTATTACAACAACACATTAGGGCCCAAAACACTTTCACACTGAGTTGTCAATGCAAACAGAAAAAATAAATAATACTGAAGATTAATACTGGTTCTCAGGCATACGCTCATCAAACACTCTGTCAAAGCCGTCAACTGAAATGTACAGTAAACTGAAGTTATTCATCTACACAGAGCAGCCTCTACAAACATCACCCAGACTAATGAGTTTTATTTCACTTCATTTATCTACTGGGGGGAAAGAAACAATGTAGGGGCCTCCACACCCTCTGTGACGCGGCCCCTCGGTTATCTGCTACATTCAGAGTCAGGGAATGTATCGACTATCCTACTGGTTAACACGCTGAGAGAGAAAAAGTCATAATGGAAGAGTCTGCTGCAAACAGCCCTTGTGTGGTTGGTCTAGAAATGAAAGAGCATTGCGGTTGCAAATGTGACAGGAAGGCACTTTCTGGTGTTTCATTCAGAACGAGTCGTGCAGCAGAGAGGGAGCATTTACAAACATTCTTGCACAACTGCCTCGACCAGAGTTTTCTTTGGTAATAAAACTGTTTTAGGCCTGTTGGTGTCAGAAGCTGAATTGGTATTAAACCGCTCAAGTTGCTTTGTCTTTTACTAATGTTACTGTGTCCACCATTTTAAATAATGGCAAGTTAGCAACATTTCTTTGTGATACCGTTAAAAGCTCAAGGTTTAAGTATTTTCAGTTGATTGTCAACCATTTCTTGGATAATTTCCCTCAGGAAGGAAATTAAGATTTAAATAAATTATACACGTGGGACTTCTACACAAAGAGTCATCCCCTAGAATTAAACAAAAAGTATAAGACTGTTTGGTAACCGACAGTATCATGTCATCATCATTAAAAAAACACGCACACACACTATGATTAAAGGATCAAGTATTAGAGGGAAGTTATTTTCTGTTAGCCCTTGGACAGAAATAGATGAACTCACTGGGGGGGAGGGAGGGTTTTGAGCTACAGGCAGACTTGAGACTCCACGTTCAGTCAGTTGAGAGAAGTACAAGCGAAACCATTTGGGCTTTCCTCTGTCCTTATTTAAGAACATTTAAATCCAGTCCTCAGTCTGATATTCAGTAACTAGGCATGAAAGACAGGCTCGTTTTAGAAGCTTCTGAAGTGAAGAGGAGCTTCTGCCAGTTTTCCCCGTCACCTGGGTAGGTGGGAAGGTTATTGGGTGATGCAGTTTTCTCCCATGTCCTGTGCATAACGGTCCAGTATTACGTTACGCAGCTCCTCAACGTCTCGACGGAGCTGTTGAGCTTCAACAAGCTTCTTCTGCAGCACCTCTGGACTCATCCAGTCCTCAGCCTTCTCTGCCACTGGTGGAGGCGCTGGAAAAAACAAAAACCATGACCCTGATTCATGTCGGTAAGTATCTAAAAAGGCCAATTTATACTCCTGTGTTGAGTTAACAACATAGCCTGACATGCACCTCCCTACAAATGTAACTACACATCACAATGACGTCTCTGCATCAATCCTACACAAAAGTATATACCAGAGTTTACCTTGACTTCTCATAACACACGTAAAAACAATAGAGTCAAGCAGTGCTTACACGTGAGACCGAGCAGCAGGGAGAGGTTTGGATCCTGTCCCTGAGCTCTCTGGGTGAGGATGCTGCACAGGGAGCGCAGGTCACTGAGGCAGGAGGCGATCTCTGCGTGGAGCTTCTGTGTGAGACGAGCCCCGGCTGGCTGCAGGGCAGAGGAGGCCTGGTTACTGCTCCTCTGCTCTGGATCGCTCATCTGCTCCTGCAGCGTCAGATTCTGCTCCATCAGTTCTTGGTTCTGGGCTGACAGCTGAAACACAGGAGTGAACATCAATGTTAGTGAAGCTGTAACGGAAAAAGATTCTGCGCAAAGAAACATGATCATTTCATGGATCAGCTTATCTCACCTCCTTCATGGCTGTGTGAAGCTCCGCCACATTCTGCTCTTTGGCCAGCACCTCTCCTCTGAGAGCCTGAGAGCTGTTCTCTTCTTGAGATATCTGCTGCTCTAAAGCCTGCGAACACAAATAATCAATGACTCATACTGTACGAGAATGTAAACAGTGCAGAGAGAAACTGTGATGATATAAACACCTGGATTTGAGAGCCGAGTTGTTCCATCATTCGGTGTTGCTTCTCAATGACCTGCACAGAGAAGAACTGAGCTTTAAAACACTTATTTGCTACTCAGAACTGTTCTGTGCCACTTAAAAAGCCTTAAAGTACCATTTGTGCTGCTAAATTATGATAATCTGAATAATAATCTATAGCTTGAATGTTTACAGTTGCATAAAATATCATGTGTGCTCACTTTGGTTGGGAAATTAAAGCAGATTCTCACAAATCCAAGGTTACCAGAGCTAAACTGACTCCCATTGCCTATTCCTCTTATTTTAATGTGAAAGAATGTTTATCTTTCTGCCTTTTCTACAGGACTATAAAATCGTTAGCTTCACTGAAATCAAGTGTTTGACTAGAGGTGTTTGCTTTGCAGGTGAAAAACGCAGCACAGAGAGCATGGTAAACAATACAGAGAAAAGAGTATCTATACTTTGAAAGGTTATTTCGGGTTTGCTAACAAATATTACTGAGAAAAGTTCTAACCCCTGATGATGTGACATGGTTTAACCACAACATGGTTCACATTCCACTGAGCAGTCATTTTCTTTAAACTCCCTCACATCAACTTTTTGAAACTGTCATTGTGGTCAAACATTGAAACGGCAGAACTGCAGTTAGTTTGAAGGACTTTTGCATTTTAAGTTTGGAGTAGTGATTTAAACATCGCTCAGGACACGTAAATAACAACAGACCTTTTTGAGTCTTTGCTGTTCCTCTCTTAAACCGTTGTTCTCTCCTCTAAGCTTCTCAATATCCAAAGAAGGCAGCCGGGCTCCGTCCTCTAGGCCCTGCTGCACCCGTTGCTGCATACTAATGACAGAAATAAAAACACAGAAAGCATTATGCAGGGTTACTGACGTTTCTTTGTGCACACACAGAATAAAGAGAACAAACATGCCTTTTGGGAAGATTGTACATGGCGATCAGACTGCGTGTGTGTGTGAGAACATACTCAGTGATGGTGGTCAGCAGGTCTCTCTCTCTGCGTTTCTGCTCCTCCAGCAGTGCGTCTTTTTCCCTCAGTTGTGAGCGTGTTGTCTCTAGACAGACCTCCAATTCTTTCGCTTTCTCCTGTAGCTGGGCTGCCTGCTGTTCAGCCTCCAGGAGCTGATATGAAAAAACAAATGTGTCCATATTTATTGAATTAACACCCTGACCTGAGTAAATCTGTGCAGACAGAATAAGAAGGCATGGCATTAGGCAGAACTCTCCTAACCTGCTTGTTCTGGCTCTGGTAATCCTCCAAGGTGGGCAGGTCGGCTAGGTAGCGCTCCAGAGTCTCAATACGCTGCTGGTTCTCTCTCTTCAGCTCCGCCTCCTTCTGGCACTTCTTCTTCAGGTTGCTGATGTGTTTGTCTCGGCTGCGGATCTGCAAACACAGATCACATATGATCCATGTGTGTTAGGTCTTCCACCCATGGTGAGTGAGAAGAGTCAAGGAGAGAACATGCTGCCTTTTAAGAAACGACATTAGTATTGTTAAATATTTATCTATGAAAATTAAGAGAATTTTGCAAAGTTTACGTATATTATTAACATGTATGATCTTCTTATGTGTAGGATACTTGACTGAAATACCAAAAGCGTCTCTACATTACTAAAATAAACAAAGGGAAGAAAATAAAATGCAGTTCTCCATAACCATTTCCCCTGAAATAAAACCATTTCCCCTGAAATAAAACCATTTCCCCTGAAATAAAAGTAAAGTGGACACATTTAAACTCTGATTTAGTCCAAAAAATTGAACAATGTCATATCTGTTATGAAACTTGAAACATTATGTAAGGGAGACGTGTTGTGAACGAACCCTCTCTTCCTGTTTCTTCATCTCTTCTGCATGTCTCTCACATGTCTCCTTCAGACAGTCGGTTAGTCGCCGCGTCTCTGCTTCAACTGCTCCCAGTCTGCGCTCTGCCTCCACTTTCTCCAGGGCAACGCAGTCTGTGCGCTCAGCAAACTGCGCTCGCAGGAATGCATTCTCTCTTTGAGCCTCCTGGGGAGCCACCGCGTGATACAAAAGTTTCAGTGAAAGTTCTTCGGGGTAAATCGCTTGTCAAGGGTGGTGACAGCGTAACACAGTGTTCTCATTGTTGTTTGTGAGGAGGCAGAGCATTTTTTCACTAACCTGGAGCCTCAGCATGAACATATCCCCATAAGAAGCCCCTCGACCCAAGAGGGCTCCATGGACCTGCAGCTCGCTTTCCCTCAGACGCTGCTCCAGCTGAGACATGTGCTG